AAAATGGCCGCCACCCTTCTGCATAACACTAGGTAAAATTGAATCACCAAAGGAGCCTTTTGTGGAATGATGGAGTTTCCACAACCGTTGCCAATAAGTCCACGGGAATTAATACGTAAGTATTGATGGTGCTGTATTGACACAAAGACGTGGCTCAGTTATAATCAGAAAAGTGGGGAAGAACATGCCTTTTCATTTCTTTGTGGATTGGGATTTTAGAAAAGATTACCTCTGTCCCGTCTTGACAGGATTAGCAGAGGAGGACGGGTCAGTAAAAAAGGGAGCTGGCTCTTTTTCTCCTCCTGTGCTTTGGACCATCATCCTAGCTCTCTTGAGTTTGCAGTAGCAGATCTAAAGAACACAGCTTTGCAGCACCCAAACCATTCTCTAAGATTTTTCTCCTCTTTCCTCCCCTTCTCACATTCCACCTGGAACGCCTGGCTGTAACAGTCTCAGTTTTCTGTTTCCCGTTACGTAGTCTGCCTTTCTGCATGTCACACTTTCTGAGACCGGACTTCTCCCCTTTAGTCTTTCTTCACTGGCCACCCTAGGGAGCCCAGAAATTCTTAGTGTTCTGAAGTAAGTCTACATTTCAAGAATGTCTGTCTTTCAGGTAGCAGCATCGGGGAGCAAAGTCCCTCGCCTTTTGCCTGCTCTCTGCATTTTCATCTTGCGGGATGCATTTGAAGGTGGCAGAGCCCTAAAAGAAATGCCTTCATCCTTGCGGTGTCTTTTCCAACACCCTGGGACATAAAATTCCTAGAGCCACCTTACATGCAACCCCCCGCCGCATGAACAGTAGCTGGCTCACCCAGAAAACGTTTTCTCAGCAGCTGTGGAGCAGGAAAAAAAGTAGCTGATTGAGACTCTAGTACAAAAATCACATTCTTTGTGATATTTATTCCCCAGCCTTTCCTTCAAGGGCTGGAATCCTACACTAGGTTTACGCTGCTGTTACGCTGATCATGTTATCAAAGCAGCTACGAATGCGAGGATCAACTTGCAAATCGGCACTCGCCAAGGGCAGCCTGTGACCTGATTTGACCTTCTGGTTTCTCCCTCCCATTTTAAAAACGGTCCATAGAAACATATGAGAAATGGCCCTGCTGGATTTAAAGGGTCACCCCACATTGGAAATGGCTTCACAGGATGTAATTACATGGGATCAAATTAAGTGTGCGGTGGGGGGGGGAGAGAGAGCTTATTTTTTTTTGGTTTCCCCCCATTTAGGAAAAGAAATAGGTGGGTTGATCTGGAACAGGGGTGAGTTTCAGAACAGAGGTGATCTGCTGGCAGAAGGGGTGAAAATGGCCGGACGCTGCTGCCTTAATCTCATCACCAAACTGGCCGTGTGCCACTGGCAGGCACGTGGCTTCCGCACATCAAGACCAAGGAAGCCGGAGGTGCCCGTCAGTTTTCAGGGGTGTATAATTTCACCAAGTGTTGAAGTTCAGTGGCGTAACCGGTGACGGGGCACCGCTGGTGACTCTTGACGTACGTGTAGGCGCATCGGTAGCAGAAGACGAAGCCAGAGGTGGAGAGGGCGGTGTCATTGGTGCGAATCCTGCGGCACAGCGGGCAGATGGTCTTGAGCCTGGGCAGGAGAGGGGAGGAGTCCGTCTCGTGGTCCAGGTGGATGGGGGGTGGCGGGGCGGGCAGGGCGGTCAGCAACTTGACGGCCTCCTGGTTTTCGGAGGAATGCCACCATTCCAAGAACTGGAGGAAGAAGACCCCCACGGAGAGGCCGGTGGACAGAGAGAAGGCCAGGCCGCCCAGGGCTTTCTTTGTGGTGGACCGAGCCCATTCTTTGACGCTGTGGCAGGTTGAGAAGAACAGGGAAAACACTTAATATTGTCTTTCACAAGAAACAAGAGCGTTCAAAATTAAGCCCCAAAGGAAACAGATCCCCTTTCCTTAACCCCTGTTTCCAGCAATGCTTAGCCTGGGAATCTCAAGAAATGAGTGCCAAGGTTTCCTCCCAGCTTCTTTCGAACACTTGGGTATTTAAAGAGAAACTATTCTTGGTCATGGAGGCTCCATGTAACAATCATAACAGACAGGGGAACCTATCTTTTAAGACACCCCACCCACTAAGCTGCTCTCTTAACTATCCCTTTTGTTCTGCCTTGACCTAGCATTAAAAATCGAGGGCCCTGGTCGATCAAGGCACTCTGGTTTATATGTACGCTTTCCCCACTAAACAGTATCTGTGATGCTGAGCATGCTTTTTGAAAACGATGTTTTGAAACACCATAAGCAGGGGATTCGCTGGCATGGCAGTGACCCTCAGCTCGCTGGTGCGTTTCCATTTCAGCTCACCTGCTGGGGGACCGCGAGACTGAACCGGTGGTGGTCAATTTCTCCTCCATGGCCCGCAGATCTTCTGCCGTCAGCCGGCTCAGCTGCACGCCTGCCAAGCGCAACAGGGGGGAATGGTGCCGGGCCTTCCCCAGGATGTAGCCCAGCTGCTGGCCCAAGATCCAGCCTTCCCAGGCCAGGTTCACATAGGGGTAGGCTGCCAGGAATGCCTTGTAAAACCTCTTCCAAGAGGACGAGGGGAGGTGGATGGAGTAGTCGTCCTCATCCCGGAGACGGGCGACCAGTTTCTCCAGTTTGGTTCGCAGGTAAGGCACAAGGACCAGCAAGCCGAGCGACCTCCAGTGGTGCCTCTGAGGCAGGCCGGCCGTGGCCAGACGCACCTGTGGCGGGCGGCTGCGGTGGCTTCTCAGGACCACCCTCTTCAAGCCGTAAAAGTTTTCAGAGAAAGAGGCGCTGCACCGGGAGAGGTAGTACTGCTGGAGGAACAGATCCAGGAGGGTGTAGAGTTCGTCAAACCAGCGCCAGAGGAAGCCGTAACGCCCAGGGTTCGACTCCGCCAGGACCTAGATCACAAAAGACAGACAAGGCTTAAGATCCGGAGCATCGCAGGCCAAAACCTGGGACAAGAGAGGAGTTTTCTACACCTGGGCAATCAATTCCAGATAGGCTCCTGAAGTACATTTTCCATCACCAGGCACTGAGGGGATCCACGCAAAAGTGTCGTGGACTGCAAAGCACAGCTTAGTTTCCCGGCTTCAAAGCACAGTCCATGATCAATCATTTATTTAGATGGGGGGAAAACTCCAATCCCTTGGACTGTTTCATCCTGAACTGAGATGTCGACAAAGACATGCACACACCATCCCTAGAACTGTTCTGTTTAGCCCAATCCACAAAAGCGACGATAAATGACTTTTTCTGAACTGCTGCCTTTCCCGGCTGACACAGCCACTGGTCATCCCGAGGAGAGCCACAGAGAGAGGGAACGACAGCCCTGACAGTGGCTGCTCACAGACCTGATGTCTTACCTTGGCCACGTGTTGAAGGGCGGGCCTCACCGCCGACATCAGACTATCTTGGGCCACCACCTCGAAGATGGAAGGCCTGTCCTCGTAGCCGGAGGCCGCAGCGAGGTGAGCCCCGCGCTCTGCCATGGCTTCCTCTCCAGGAGGAAAAACCTAGCCGTTGGGCAAAACCTTTTGCTGAAAACACAACAGAACAACAAAAGCCTTTGTTACTGAAACATTCAAAGAGTTATTTCTAACAAAAAGGAATGCAAAACATGGGGGCCGTTCAGATATTGATGACCTGAAACACTGTCCATTGGTTTATTTTATTTATTTATTTAATTTATATCCCGCCCATTTAGACCATCACAATGGTCAGAGAGGATGAAAGGTTCTGCCTAACAACACCAGGTGGGCCAAAGGTTCCTCACTTTTAAGGTAGACTCTAGAAGTTAGTAGGGTGATGCTTGCTTTGCAATCCGATAATGAGCAGGAAAACAGGAGATTCCCCATAAAGCTATGTTTTTAGCCATAGCAAGTGGCTAGATCTCAAGAATCCAAATCCTGTTTGCTGCCCTTAGAAATGTTGCCTTTCCCCAAACTGTCCAACAGTCTGCAAATATTCAAATGCCAGACTTCCAGTAAAGCAGAGGATGGTAACTTTGATGTGTCTGGGGCTTCAAGGATAGGCCGTTTGTTCTTTTTTTCCCCCCTGAGGGATGGCAGGGGCAGAAAGCAGAGGGGCCAGAGGCCACCAAAGTAGCCCCAGAGGAGGGGTGCAGGTTGACACACTAATTGACATCCTAGCTGACCCGTCGTCTGCTAATGCATTGCAGTACACTGACAAAATTAGGTCAACGAAGCATCAGCCACTATGGCTGCTTTGTCTCGGGCCAGGAAAGGGCTACTGGGCCCTATAGATGGAAGGTGTCAGTTGATGGGCAATGTTCTCAAAGTGCTTTGATGATGATAAGGATGAGTCGAGAGAATGCCTCGGCCAGTAGCTTGGTCTCATACAGTACTTGCAAGGATGATGCCCCAGAATGCCTTGCACCAGCACACGGGGAGTCAGCGTAAACACTCTCTGGCCCCAAACCCCTGGAAGATGCTGCTCCCAGAGACCCAGGTGGGGTGGCTCACCACTCGCCTCCCCATGGGCTATGCTGGGCAGGGGATGATGGGACTTGCTGCCTGACCACATAACAGGAGAGCCACCAGCCAGCGCTCCCCAGAGCACTACAAAAAAAAGGAACATGTTAGGTTAAAAACTCGACAAATTTTTCTTTTTGAAATGTAATTTCGTTCCACCCGCGTTGCCTGCAAGGAGTAACGACGTTCCTCGCACAACTCGTTACTGCCCCGTTCTTCGAAGAAAACCTGGGTCCAGGTTTGGAAGGGGAGGGTGCGCATATGTGTGTCCACCCCACAACCGTATTAGGGAGAATGGACCCCCCATCCCGACAAGCAGCCCCACCTACCAGCCCAGCCGGGAGCCCCTCAAGTCCAGTGCTGCAGAACTCTATGGTGCCATAGAGAGGAGAAGGAGGAAGAAGGACCCCAGAGGGGAATTTCCGGTGAGGAACGGAAGTGTGGAAATAAACCGGCCGGCGCGGTAAGGGATTTCGGTCGGGGCGGCCTACAGAACAGGTAAGGTCCTTTCAGACCCGTTGCCGGAGCAACCTGAGGGCCAGTCCTTCTAGAACGTGTCCGAGGCCTCTCTTTCCGCTCCGCTTCCGGGCTACGGCCGGAAGTGGGTGAACCGGCGGGGCGGGGGAGGGACGCTCTAGGCCGGAAGGCGTGGTGGGCCTCTGTGGTCGGACCTCCCTGACCGCCCGGTTTCCGGTCGCCTCCCGAGCCAGGCGGTTGCTCCGGACTCG